TATATTTATATATATATATATATATAAATATATATATATATATATATATATAGCAAATACTTCATAATATAATGATTCTTACAATTTAAATATAAGTTTGCGGTTTCCTTGTTATTTGGTTCAGAAACTTTAGTTTTAATAAAATATTTTTTTTAAAAAAAAAGGGTAACAAATCGCAATGTTGATTTGGTTCATCGACTTTTGGCATCGTTTCTCGAGATGAATGTGTTCGAATCAGTCCAATGTATCACGCAATTATCAAACACACACACACACATATATATATATATATGATAATTATTTAAATCATATGCGTATATAGATAGAGTCACGTATAAAGCTATATTGAGAATTTAATTATCATCGTTATTACATCCAATTGGTGTGCAAGTCTAAACCCATAATGGATTCGGTTCTTGTGCCACATATTATAATAATTTGTATTGTTTCTACATAACACTGTTTACACACATGCATCAAAAATACAAAAACATATATATATATATATATATATATATGTATAATAAAAACACAGATAGAAAAATATTCAGAAAAAAAATTGTCCGAATCTTATGGACTGCAATGCTGATTTGGGCAAACAGTTGTCTTTAAAGATACTCTTCACAGTCGCCGATCAACACGACGGCAGAAGACAAATTTGTGCCAATATTATATCCCATGAATATTTATATATCATATAACTGTACAAAGATCTGAAATATTCGAAATGGTTATTAAGTAAACGTACACAATACATCTTTTTTTTTTATCCATGAAATAATAAACATGTATCTAATAAGGATTCTAACGTGTCTTTGAAAAGAAAAGAATAAGGAATGGGTTCTTAGACCACGAGAACACGATCCAAAATTTTTATTTTTAAATTTAGAATTTAATTCATATTAATAAAATCATATTATAAATCTGAAGTTTGTATGATTCGTGAACAATACATGCTTTTGTTTGTATTACATAATAATGAGAAATAAACACCGGATAACATTATTTTTTGTTACGTAGTTTTCAATTATAATTTGATGTATTTTCGGCGGCCCATTTAAAATGGCAAAAAGCTTACTCCATGGCTCTATTATGGGCCTCTATGTATTTTCGACGGCCCATTAATGCCGCCATTATCAGATTGGATTTTGCAATTTCAAGATCCTAAAAAGTAGTAGGATTTATTTAAGTACTTCAAGAACTCATAATCTTTCTGAAAATATATTATTAAAATCTGGAATACTCATGAATCTATTTTTTTTTTCTAGTATAAACACACACAAAAAATTATTAGATTTATTAATTTATATATTAAATATATATATATTGAGATGCTGTCTTCCTCGGCAGTCCATTTTAATGGATATATTATTTTTTGTTCTCCAACGAAAAATCTGTCGTGTGGTTATGAATGTTTCTTTTCGCATTGGCAATGTAAATGGGGATAATACACATATATATTGATGTCTACTAAAAAATACATATCTATCTATATATCATAACAAAATTAATTCAATATTGGACCACCCGATTTTTAAATGCACGGATACAACAAGAGAACGAAAAGGACAAAAAGAAAAAAAGAAAAAGAAGACGTATGATATGAGAGAATCTTTCTTGTTATTTAATATTATATATATATATATATATATATATATATAATTTTATTGTCTATAATTAGTCTTTCTTATCATTTTTATTTCTTTTATTGTTTAAGTGTCGATCGCATATTGCTCAGAACATCTTACATCATGTTAATGAAATTCTTAAAAAAATTGCGCTATATTGTTTCTTAGAATTTTATTATAATTTTCTAAAATTAAACATAAGTTTTGTAATGTAAGTGTATTTTATTTTATTATGATTTTACTTTAAGCCCTCGTCCGCGTATAACGAGTATCGAAGCGGCCCATGCTATAATCTGTGTAGGAGATTTAATCACCATACAATTTCGTGATTAATTGGTCCTTAAATGCGCAAGTTAATAACCATTCGGCTGAAAATTTAATGAAATGTGGACATTATATTATATCAATGCTCGATATGTATTGGTGGGAGTGTGTGGAGATAGTTTTGTCACGCTTTCTCTCATCGTACCACAATGAGATGAGTCGAAGGGGGACCAGAAGTTATACGAGGCTCGCGAATGGGCATGTGCCTTCCGGATACATTTGCATTCGTGCGTCGCTTTTTAATTATATGTTATTTATTATGTATTCTCTATATATATATTATAAATATCATTTCCTATCATTTCTTTAAATTTTTTTATCTACGTGATTATCATTCTTCCAGGGTTTTATTTTTATTTCGATTCTTTGTTTGTTTTGCTAAATTTTCTCTGTAAAATGTACGGATACAACAAGAGACCGAGTCTATTTATCTCTGAGAAATAATAGATATAAAATGTATATATATACATACATATACGTGAGAAGACCCATTTATAAGGTATCAGGGTCACATACCCCCATTGTTTTAATTTAAAAGTTTAATTTCTTTGTAAATTGAAAAAATCTAAAATACTCAACTTACAGTTTTTTGACAGAAAAACACTAAACTTTTTTATTTTATCAAATAAACATTATACCTTTTAAATTTGATAAAATAAACACTTTAACTTTTTACGATTGTCAAAATAAACAAAATAACTGACGTGACATAAGAAGATGAAAGATGCAAATACATCAGATTATTTTACTTGGTTTTTTTAACAATCGAAAATAGTTCATATATTTTTTTGGATCACTAAACAAGTTCAGTGCTTTTTTATAATCGCAGAAAAATTTATGTATTTTTTGGATTACTTAAAAAGTTCAGTGTTTTTTTAGATTCATTTAAAAAATTTAATGTTTATTTGACAAAAAATAAAGTTCAGTTTTTTTTGTCAAAATTGAAAAGTTCAATGATTTTTTTTTTTGGATTTTCTTTTAAAATTTTATAAACTTTCAATTAAAATTGTCAAATACTTCAGTAACAAAATTAACTTTACATTAATGGAAACAATTTCTTCAAAGGATATTAATGCCGAAGACCTAATTTCTGTGAGCTTGAAATAAAAATTTATGTGAAGGTTTCGTTATTCAATTGCTTTTATTATTTGACGGTCCATTGCCAATTTCTTCATAAGCATTTCTTCTATCTGCGACTGTGGTATTCAAATCTTCATAAATTGTGTTTCTGCATTGAGCCACCCAACTGCTTCAACCAACTTTTCAATTCCATCGGCAAATCCAAAGGTACATACCAACAAATATATATATATATCGCACCATCTTATTATATTGTTCGGTATATATTTTTGTATAAAACGATCGAAAAACAAATTATTTGGATAACAAAATTGAAGGTAAGAGTATAATATATGAACTGTTTATATAAAAAATGGAAAATCCAAAAAAAAAAACACTCAACTTTTCAATTTTGACACAAAAATACTGAATTTTATTTTTTGTTAAATAAACATTAAATTTTTAAACGAATCTAAAAAATACTAAACTTTTTAAGTGATCCAAAAAATATAAGAACTTTTCTACGATTATAAAAAAATACTGAACTTTTATAGTGATACAAAAAAATATATGAACTTCTGCGATTGTCAAAAAAACAAAACAAAATAATCTGACGTATTTGTATCTCCTTATGCCACTATGTTATATCAACCATTTTATTTATACTGACAATCGTAGAAGAGTTAAGTGTTTGTTTTGTCAAATTTAAAAAGTTTAGTGTTTATTTGATAACATAAAAAAATTCAGTATTTTTTTGTCAAAATTTGAAAATTTAGTATTTTTTTTTTAATTTTCCCTATAAAAATGTATAACGTCATGAATTTTATCCGGTCCATTCGTTTGTGTTCAAATGTTCAATTTTAGATAGATAAATAAATAAATAAATAAATTGGTGAATGTAAGAGAGGGAGGGGACACACATCATATGTAAAAACTAAGGGCAAGTTGGTGATTGTGACGCAGACTTGCAATTTTTATGGTTCATTGAATTTCAGTGTTCTCTACTAAATGCTGTCCTTTTCCATTTATTTATTTTCGTTATATATATATATATATATATATATATATATATTGATTTTCGATTAGACAGAGAACTATAAACTTTACCTGGATTTGCTGTTGAAGCAACTTGATATAGAGAGAAGTGTCTTCGAGAACAGAAGCTATATCAGCCTGCTCCATAACATATAGAGAGACATACACATTTACAGGTCAATTTAAGGAAATATTTCATAATATGAAATGAATGATACCATATATATGAATGCGCATCCATATTCTGTAATTAAGGCATTAAGGCCTGTGTGTGTCTATGTTGGTTAATTTAGCTATTATTGAAATACGGCGATATATACATGTGTATATAGATATATATATATATATATACACGCATACATACGGTTTATAAGTAGATATGTAGATATAACGTACGTAGAAAGAAAAAGGAAGAAATGTACGAATAATTAAACAGACCTTGCCATTTTTGTTTTTTATATATATATATATATATATATATATATATATATATATATATATATATATAAAAGAGTGAACAATATATATATGATGTATCTACTTCAATTCACCTAATACCCACGCGAAGTTATAATTATAAATAGATTTGGGCGATATTTTAGATTTTACTTATATGTTTATATTTTTTTGTTTTTATTAGAAGTTTTTATAATTTAATTTAGTTTTAGAATTTATTCAAAGATTTTTTAAAATAAAATTGCTTTTATTTTTTGATACTATTTTAATGTTAGTTTAGATTTGGATTTAAAATTAATCAATTTGATTTCAATTCTGATAAAATTATATGTTTTCTATTTATGTTAATTAAATTTTATATATACAACTATATACTGATTTTTATTATGAAATAAAAATGATTTTATATTTGCTATATATATAAAGTTTGGAATCTCGTGGATAAGAGTTAGGTAAAAATAAAATTTTCAAAAATATATGTAAATTGTTAGATAATATGTATTGCGAAATCCCACGTTACATACTATCCAAAAAAAAACTATCGTCCTCTATGTGTATGTGGGTCACCGTTACGAGAGATACGCTACGTGACAAAATGGCCGTTATCTAACGGCGGCTTAAAATAAAAATTTCAATAAAAATAGCACCCCGGCATCTTAAGTATATTCTTACGCATGAGTTTTACACGATTTAGTATTTGTAATACGTATAGTAAAAAAAAAATACCCGTCTTTTTTTTGGATAACCGGAAATTATAGACCGAAACTCAGACTAATCACAGAGTTATGAGCAATGCATGTGATCGAAATTACGTTTCTCTTTCCAACTTGAAACTCGAATTCAAGACGAGACAGACGTTTTGCATTTCCGTTTTATTTATCGGTTGAACTATCCAATTGGGTTGGTTACCGTCTTAAAAGAATTACTTAAACTAAAAAAATATTTTATTTGTTATAAAATCTTATTCCGAGTCTCAAGTTCGGACCTCAAGTTGGAAAGATAATGCAATTCTAATTTTCGATTCCAGAATTGGTTTGTGATTCGGTCCAAAATACTCAATTAACGAAAAAAAAATTGACTCCGATATCTAAAGCAATATATATAATTAATGTTTATACGTATCGATTTGTTAATATGAATTGCGACTGTTATAATTGTTCGAAACCAGATAATAGATTATAAAATTTCCAAAATTCCGCATACAGAAAAAAAGTCATCTGAATTAAAGATTTTTATACATCATGGACAAGTAAAAGAAATATATTTTTTTTTATAGAAAAGGCGAACTATGACGAATCTCTTGGACGCGTGGTGGAATGATATATGCACGTTGCAGCATGAATCACGTGCTCCTCTCTTCGGCCAAATGTATAAATTTATAATGTGTTTAATTACAACCCCATCAAAGTTTTTGTTTATGTCAAAATGATCCTAAACTTGTTTTAGTACTGAGACTCCCCCAATTTAGATTCCCAATTTTCCTGCAGTGTTCTTATAACAACCTATTATAATTTCTAAAATAATTTAAATATTGTAAATATTTTGATGGCAAATATATGCACAACCAATTATATAAACATTTAAAATTGAAAGTTACATTTTTCAAACCTTATGTTGCAAGAATTGGCTACTAGGGTTGGTTCCGTTGTAGTAAAAAGTTAGTGCTCAGATTGAGATGTTCTGAAAATTCCATACCTTTTCCGTAAATATTCGAGCTCTGTATTTAAAGATTATATTCACTCAATACAAAATGTGACTTATTCCAGATGCAAGATTATGTATTCAACGCCCTCTTTTATGAATATAAAATATAAGGGTTTTTCAAAATAATTAAATACTTCTGCTCGCATTTTTTTTATCAAACCCACGATTTATACTTTTAGTCACATATTAATAATATATAATATCAGCTAATATTATCAAACAAAATTATTTCAGAAGCAAAATCCAACGAACTATACAGATAAGAATTAAATTTCGTATAAGAAGAACTAAAACATAGTTAATAGATTTCTAAAATTTCTAATATTCATGAGGAAAAAAAAAGAACACAATGGGTATGAAAAAAAGGGAAAAACTGTAGTCAACTCTCACGCGTGGCCCATGAGAATTTGTGAAATGCATGAACTGTCCCACCTGCCGTCCAATCATATATATTAACTTTTATAATCACTTTTGATTATTATTATAACTCGAATCTTATTTTTATTATTATTATTATTATGCATTTTGTTAAACTTTAGTGCTATTTACAGGATTCCCTCTCTCTATTGGTATTTTGTGCTATTTAAATGGTGATGAATATATTTTTGTTTAAATATTTATATCTCGAATATAAATTTTTTAGAAACACACACACAGATATATATATATATAATATTCCGTGACATTAACTTAACTGTTGGTTGATTAGTTTAAGGATTAGAAGGGAAGACACAATCATGACGTACCCAGGAAAAATGCTGAATGAATTTGTTATTCGATCACCTAACCATGATTTCACTAAACATATAAATATATTCCGATTGGACGCAACAGAATAGTTTAAAATTATTTTATGCAATGCCTTTAAATAAAATCGCCACGACTTAATTAACACGTGCATCTCGTGGAATATGAACTCAACTAAAATATACCCAAAGCATGTGCTAAATCAATTTAAACAATAAATCTTTAGAGATCTAAACTCTTATAATTTGAAAATTTACTGTTCATTTGTCTCAATATATATTAGGATATCAATCCGGCTATCCCGATTCGATCCAAAGGTTTCGAGTTCAGACTCAAGTTGGTGCATTTTTTTTTCGGATTTGTATAACTAAATCCGAAGCCAGATCCTATATATTTTGGGGTCGAATCGGATCGTATTGACCCATATAATTTCCTTTGTAAATATCATTTCTTTTAAAAATATCGGGTTTTTGGATCGGTCCAAATTAGACCCGAAACATGATTTGAGTCTGACCCAAAAATCCATTTTTTTTACCGAAAAACTTAGACTCGAAATCCGTTAATTTTTGGGACGTGAGGCCTAAATTGATACCTAAAATATATCTTCAAAAAATTAAAAAAAATACCATATGAATGTAAATCCTTCGTATTCTTATGACTCCTTTTTATTTCGTCCGTTGTAATTTTACATGTTAAATCCTCATCTCGACAAAAAAAAACATTAATTTTAATAGTTTGTTTTTTAAAGCTCTTCGATTTATATGTTATTTAGACCGTTTGTAAATACATAACTCAACAATTTTCAAAATTTTATTTAAATAATTTTTCGTTTTATTGTTTTTTTAATAATAAGATTCTTCTACTAATTAAGATTCTCTGAAACTACACTCTGAACTGAGTTTAAAAAGTTCACCCCGAGGCGGGTGACACTTAGAATTAAATCCTGACCGACCAATATTTGCCGAGTAGATCCGACCTCGAATCACAACCGTACGATCTCACCAGGTTTGGTCTCGCCGAGTAGATCCGACGTCTAACTCGTTGAATCGCCACTCGAGCGTTCACCGAAGCTTCTGTGCCCCTACTCTTTACTACAGGCGTCTGCCTGAGACGATGACACGTGTCCATCTAGTAAGATATATTACGTATTTGCCCCTGATATTCGAACCAGTTAAAATCCCAAATGCCACTCCGTTTCTCTAGCATCCACCTCATCCCTCTCTCTCTAAAAAAAAAATTATTCGCGTTTGCCGGTGACCGGTGCATGGAATGACGGACTACAGGCTTCCGGCGACGATGAATCTGTTAACCACCGACGATAACGCCTCCATGATGGAAGCTTTCATTAACTCCTCCGACCTCTCGGATCTCTGGCCACCGCCGCCGGCTGCTCCGGCGAGTCAGCCGCAGAATGCGCCGGCGATTGTTCCGCCGGGTTTATGTCAGGAGACTCTCCAGCAACGCCTTCACGCTCTGATCGAAGGAGCTCACGAGGGTTGGACATACGCCATATTCTGGCAACTCTCGTACGATTTCTCCGGCGCCGCCGTGCTCGGCTGGGGAGACGGCTATTACAAGGGCGAGGAAGACAAGGCTTGTCCCAGGCCGAGGGCGACGACGTCGTTCTCGTCTTCGGCAGATCAAGAGCACCGTAAAAAGGTCCTCCGGGAGCTGAACTCGCTGATCTCAGGCGGAGCTCTCCCCTCCGACGACGCCGTTGATGAGGAAGTGACCGATACGGAGTGGTTTTTCCTGGTCTCGATGACTCAGAGCTTCGCCAGTGGATCGGGATTGGCGGGAAAGGCGTTCTCGACGTCGAACCCAGTTTGGGTTGCCGGATCTGATCAGCTTTCCGGGTCGGATTGCGAGCGGGCCGGGCAAGGTGGGGTTTTCGGGTTGCAGACCATCGCGTGTATACCTTCGGCGAACGGAGTTGTGGAGCTCGGGTCGACGGAGATAATCCGACAGAGCTCGGACCTTATGAACAAGGTCAGAATCCTTTTCAATTTGGACGGCGGACAGTGGAGCGGCGACCCGGATCAAGGAGAGAACCACCCGTCCATGTGGATCTCTGACCCGATTTGTGGAGAACCAGGAACAAACGAACCGGGTCATGGAGCTCCGAGTTCAAACTCGCAGCTTTTCTCCAAGTCTTTGCTGATGGAGAACGGTAGTTCGAGCCCCATAACCGAGAATCCGAACCCTACTTTGGTTCACTCCCTGACCCAGAACCTTAAGTACAACGATTTCTCCCGAGAGATAAATTTCTCGACTTTAAATTCAAATTTGGCCAGGCCCCGATCCGGCGAGATCCTCAACTTCGGCGAGGATGCCAAACGGTGCCCCGGAAACCCGAACCCGGGTCTGTATTCGGGTCAGTCCCAGTTCCTAACCAGCGACATCAAGAGGAAGACGAAATCCATCGGAATAACCGAGGACACGGTTCTCTCCTTCGGCGTCGCCGGTGATAAATCCGGCGACTCCGACCACTCTGATCTCGAAGCCTCCGTCGTGAAGGAGGCGGTGCCAGAGAAACGCCCGAGAAAACGGGGACGAAAACCGGCGAACGGCCGTGAAGAACCGCTGAACCACGTGGAGGCGGAGCGGCAAAGACGCGAAAAACTGAACCAGCGATTCTACGCGTTACGAGCAGTGGTGCCCAACGTGTCGAAAATGGACAAGGCGTCGCTGTTGGGAGACGCCATCGCGTACATCAACGAGTTAAAATCTAAGCTGCAAAAGGTCGAATCCGAGAAAACTCAGGTCGAGTGCCAAGTCGAGAGCTTGAAGGGGGAGCTCGCGGGACAAAACGCAAACGCAGGTGTGGTAGGGGACGTCGGAGATTCGTACTCTTCAGTCAGCAAACGGACAGGGGTCGAGATCGAAGTGAAGATCATTGGATGGGACGCGATGATCAGAATCGAGTCGAGCAAACGCAATTATCCGGCGGCGCGATTGATGTCGGCGTTGAGGGATTTGGAGCTTGAAGTGAATCACGCGAGCATGTCTGTGGTGAACGATCTGATGGTACAACAAGCGACTGTGAAGATGGGGTTCAGAATCTACACGCAAGATCAGCTCAGGGCGGGGCTGATTTCCAAATTCGGATAAATTGTGGGGTCATTTTGTCATTAACTCTTTCTAGAGCGGCTAATTATTTATTTCGTAGTTTCTAATTTTCAAGGGGTTTAAAAAAATGTTCTAAAGTAGAGCGACAAAAAAGGTTCTTGATTGCTCATCTACTCATATATATATATGTATGTATACATTATCAGAGATGGGTCTGTACTATTTTATTCCACAAGGTAACGACGTGTATATACGAAATATGTGTTATTTGAGTGTGCAGCGTTTAATATTTCACAAGTATAACATCATATGACGATCACATAACCTAAGAACCTTATGGTAAATTCGTTCAAATATATTCTACACTACACCCTGGAGATTGCAACCACGTGATTTGAAACATGCATATGTATTCTTGAAATTACTTAAATCTATTTCGTGAAGCAAAATTTGCTTGCTATTATAATCTGAGTTCAATTCATGTTTTGAAATATGTGAAACTACGTACATATGGTGTTACAAAATAGAGTGAAATCAATAACATTTGACAGACTTTGCTTTGTATATATATATTTTTTTGGTAATCGGATATTTTGGACCGAAATCAAGATTAATTTTGGGGGCGAAAGCAAACCATATAATTGGAATTACGTTTTCTCCCGATTTTGGATTCGAATTCGAGACAGGATAGATGTTTTGTATTCTCATTTCGCCGGTTGAACTATCCAAGTTGGGTGATTTGCTTTGTATATACGTGCGCAGATTCATATAAAACCCACGTGTGCATAAAAATATGCATGCATGATTAATCTCGTATCTTTGTTCAAACGTACGAGGAAAAAGTGTTGGTAGATGTCAAAATCGGTCTTTACCTTATTAAGCGTATCATAGAACTCTGCCGCATCCACGTCCTCCAAAAATGGCGTCTAGATTCTGTTCTCTCTCTCCTGTTTTTTTTCCCCTTTCTACGATTGATGAAGACAATGACGCACCTAAAATTGATAGTGTGTTTCACAAATTGCTATAACCACTTACCAGAATATTTCAATATATTGTCTTCCACTCAATAGAAAGTTATTTATAGAATCATGGTAAAACACAAATCCAGTGATAACGACAAAAGCTTTTCGATCATGCCATAAACGAACCACATGAAATAGACACGAGTTGTCTCCTCCTCCAGGCGTTACCAAACTAAAAGAGCATCATATCATATACATATGTGGATTCGAGTTCAGTGGCAATCCTCACATTAGTCTGCTCAAAGGAAACCAGTTTTTTTTTTTTTTTGGCATACATTAACCAACCAAGACAAGCCCTCCAAACTGGTCCTCTTGTATGTTTCCTTGAAAGGGCAGAGGAGAATCCATGTTACCCTCTCCTGCGGGCATACCTGGTTCTGTCATTGTACTTTGGCCTGTCCGAGCTTTTATGGGTTGTGAATTGCTCGATCCTCCTCTGTCTCTCTGGCGGGCGAGGAACTATCTCCCCATTTACGAACAGTTCAGCTGCAACAGAAATCAGAGGTGTTGCATAGCAATCAGTTAGTGGCTCATCATTATGAAACACAGAACTTTAAACCGAGAGCGTGTTTGATTTAGGCGACTATGTTATGGAGATATCGGCCATATCAAGTGAAGCATATTTAGCAGAGGATGCAAGTCTAGGCAAGGATCATGAGGCTTCTTCAAACACAAACACACACACAGACACATAAATAATAAACTGTTATCAAGACAGCATAAAGCTGTGATGACATGTCCTGAAAAATGTTGAATTCTGATGCTCCAGCCTCAAATTCAAACAGCTTCTTATGCTTGTACATAACACATGCAGCCACATCAACTAGATGAATGGGCAGTCTAAAAACATAAAAAGGTGAAAGAAAAAATAGACTTTGGAGTCTGCCTTGACACCAGACGTCGAATCACAGTCTCAAACAATCCTGAATGGGTTACAAAACATGATACCAAAGAACTCACAAAAGCAAAACCATGATACCCTGTCATTGGAGTTTTACCTCCGTAATCTTTGAACTCAGGATCAACATAAGAGTCTGGAAGCACAAACAGAACACCAGGAAGACCTGAAATCACAAACAGCAGCAAGAATCTCAATCATGATAGCTTGTGTACGAACAAAACACGATACGCATCCAATCGCATGTTTTAGAGTAATACCCTCAAGTTTGTTGGATGTCTCCTCATCAATCTCACAGCCAAACCCAAAATACCTCTCGCACGACACATTGTATATCTTCTTCTTAGCTTCTTCCTCGCTGATATACAACATCGAAGAAGACACCCGCACAATAGTACGTATGGTTATCATAATCTATCAGTAGAAAAATGGAGAAACGAATCTTATCGAACATATAAATGCGGTAATTTGTTTGTCTCGTTTCCAAATTAAAAAGCGAGTAAATTTCTAGAAATGATATCTAAATGAGTGAGCTCCTAGAAAAGAGGAGCTAAACCGAAATAAACACACCAACTACGCCAGCTTGTTTGCTTCCTCTTCCAAAATGATATCGAGATTCACAGAAACAGAATATAAAAGAATCTACTTTCAAATGGGAAGAAAACTTGCCTGCCGAGAACTTTGGCTAGGGTTTGGATATAGCAATCAATCATCTGCTGCCTCGCTGCACCTTCACCACCGGGCTTGTCCATGACGATCAACCAATGCTCGTAATCGCAGCCAGGAAAAAGCGGCGCCATCTCAGTCGGGGGTCGGTCGCTGAAATTCGACCCGGATTTCAGCGGCGAGTAACCGGAAGAGCCACCGGATCTGTCCATCCGGGTTCGTATCGTCGTAAAACGGTTCAAGGAGTGAACAAAATCGGCGGCACGAGAAAGCGCCGGGACCGATCGACGGGATAGGAGGTAAGAAGGGAGCGGAGGAGGAGCGGAGGAAGAGGAGGCTGAGAAGAAGCGCTTGGCGGTGCGTGAGGCGGCAGAGCGGGCTAGGGATTTCGCCATTGGAGCTCGGGTAGTGTTTACGCAGGCACGAGGTCAGAAATGACGAACTAGGGTTTAAGCCTTAAGCGAAATGCTCTGATATTTACTACCTCTAGGCCAAGACCAGGAAGGAAAAAAAAAACACAGAGAAAGAAAATATACAATTTCCAGTTATTATTGCAAAATAAAAAATATTCAGAATAATACATGGGCCAAGGCCCAAAACTCGTAAACCGAACCATTACTATAAATGGGCCTTACATTTAGAAAATACTTTCGAGGTTTTAGGCTCAATAACTGACTAATTTCAAATAAGATCTTTACGAGGTTTTATAATTTTTTAATTACTTATGAAATAAAATAATATTTACTAACTTATTATACCTTTTTAATTAACAATTATGCAAACCGGAGATGCTAACCCAATAGATGGATTGAACCAGTTTATTCGGTTTAGTGAGTATAATGCAACTCCGTCGCAGTCTATGGTTAGGTTACCTCTTTCAGAGGATATTATATCAAAAATATCCTTATTTTACTATTTCTATTTCAACACATACCATTTTCCAGTTTAAATCATGCATTGAAATTGGTGTTGTAATACACAGTTATACTGGCTATAGTTTGGAAGATACTTTGCTCGTGAACCAGTCGTAATCTCTCTCTCCCAAATCAGAAGATAGTGTTTGATCGAATGGTTATGGTACAGTAATCAGGAGAGAAAAAAGATACATTATGGTACACGCGCGTATACTGTAACACAGGAAAGAGACGATTATGCGTTTGAACTTGCCATGGGAGATGAATAGACTCTGCCTACACACCACAGACACTCTGCGTCAACAAGAGACTTTAATATTATATATATATATATATATATATATATATATATGCTTTTATGGTTCCCAATGCCACAGGTTCTTAATGGTCTACTCTCTCGAAGCAACCAGAAAGAAGGAATTTCTATCCCGATTGGAATAATACCTGCTGGGTCTGACAACTCGTTAGTTTGGACTGTTCTCGGTGTTAGAGATCCTATTTCTGCCGCCATTTCAATTGTGAAGGTATTCCAGGCTAATTGCGTGTAGTGCCTATGTGCGTTATTTTCTTTGTTGTTCTGTGTAACTGTTTATTCATTTTTTGCGCTACTGTTTAATTGTTGACATTTCTCTATTAGGTTTGGATTTTGATTCAAGTTATTGTAAGATGTAGAGCCAGTGATGTGCGGACTTAGAGGAACAGGTTACTTTTTGTGAAAATATGTAGGGATCTAGATAACAAGAGACTTTAATATTATATATATATATATATATATATATATATATATATGTATATGATATGTTGAATCAATGTTAATATGAACACATAAATCGCATCTCATCCCGAGAAAGATGCTAATTCTAATTCTCTAACTCCAAAGGACCATGAAAGAATCTCTTTTACTGGGACCGGTTAACGTCTTATATAAACGGATATAATGAAATCCCCTAACGCTAGATGATTTCTACACATATTTTTATCATATTTATTTTTCTAAAAAGTAATTGAATAAAACTATACACTACCATAGAAGATATACATATTATTAAATTACCCAACAATTATTTTTGGACTGCAAAAGGAATACCTATATATGACATTGACCGGTCAGAAATTACATTCATAGAATCATAGGTCGAATAAAATACAGTGATGAATGGACATTAGTTATGTTGGAATTCCGAAGCCTAGTGCGGAGACGGCGTCGTTTTATTGTGGGCTGATCCAATGGGCTCTTAATGAGCCCAAACTCCGGCCCAATTTGTGGGGACAAAACCCCCCCAAGAAAGGCCTCAAAGAATACATAGCATTTTCCTTTGCACGCCCTCCTCTCTGTCTTTGTGTTCGCTTCTTCTTCGTCTCTGCCGAAGCTCCTCTCCCCAGCTGAGGAAATTATTCATCGTCGTTTTGTGAGTTTTTTATTCTCTGAATTTTATCATATCATTTGAATTTATTTTTTCCTTTTCCGATCTTTGATCTCTTTGATCCTGGTTTTGGTTGATGTTTTCGTATGGCGATTCATGATCTTACTGTTTCAACCTCTGTAGAATTTTTTCAGATTTTCGTGTATACATAAACGTCCCTCGTGCAGAGACAGGAGTTTCTGATGGGTTGTACTGTGAGGGAGAAGCATGTGCGACCTAGCCGGAAGACCCGATCCGTGAAACCCGAATTCGATCCGTGTTGTTTGTTTGATAGAACGGCTCTGTCGAAATCCATTGTTGAATCGAGTCTCAAACACCTGGTTTCTCATTCGGGACTTTCGGATTCGGATACGGACCCTGGCACCATCCCCATGTCCTCCAACTCTACTGGGGGGTACTGTACAGAGGATCAGCTGGAGGATATTCTGCTGAAACATTTGGAGTATTTGTACAATGAAGCTATCTCTAAGCTCATTGCATTGGGTTACGAGGAGGATGTAGCGTTGAGAGCCATTTTGAGTAATGGGTACTGCTATGGTGGTATGGATGTGTTGACAAATATAATGCATAATTCATTGGCTTATCTCAATAGCAGTAGCACTGGGGGTAGTAACGGGAACAATGAGGATCAGTCGGACACCGTTTTCACAGACTTGAGGCAGTTGGAGGAGTATTCACTCGCGGGTATGCTTTATTTGCTGCAACAAGTTAAACCTCATCTGAGCAAAGGTGATGCCATGTGGTGTTTGCTAATGAGTGAACTCCATGTCGGTAGAGCAAGTACGATGGATATACCGAGTTTGGGAAATGGAACTAACAATGCCATGCATAGTAATGTGGAGGATGTTAACGGTTATAATATGAATGGTGCGGGTGTTATGGCACCCGCATTATGCAGATTCCATGGAGGATGGGGTTTCGGAAATGGGGGAGGACCGGATTTTTCTGCTAATGGGTTTTCTTCATACAATGCGGAGGTGACACTGCAGAGAGACATAGATTGTCCGAGGAAATTTAATCTTTCACCATCCATGAAGTCCTTGTTGAAGAGGAATGTTGCAGCATTTGCTGCTGGATTTCGTGCTGCTAGTCTGAAACATATGCAGGTGCAAACTCATACTAGCGGTAATGGCGTGTCTAGTACAAATGCTGGATGTGCGGAAACGTGTGAGCAACCTCAAAACTCAGGAAGTGAAGAAAGTGTTAGTTCGGTGTTGGATAAGTTTCGGGATTTGAACCTTGATGAGAATCTTGAATCAGCTGGTGAGGATCAAAAGGATGGCGTGATAGTCAGTTTGATTCATCAGATCAAGGATCTTGAAAAGCAAGTAAAAGAGAGGAAGGATTGGGCTCATAAGAAGGCGATGCAAGCTGCCCAAAAGGTTAGCGATGAACTAGCCGAGCTAAAAATGTTGAGGAGTGAGAGAGAAAAAACTCAACGGTTAAAGAAGGGAAAACAAACACTTGAAGACTCAACCATGAAAAGGTTATCTGAAATGGAAAATGCTCTAAGGAAAGCTAGCAGCCAAGTTGACAAAGCCAATGGAGCTGTCAGAAAGCTTGAGAATGAAAATGCAGAAATCCGAGCAGAGATGGAGGCTTCCAAATTAAGTGCAGCAGAGTCGCTTACTGCATGTGTGGAAGCAGCAAAGAAGGAGAAAAAGTGCTTGAAGAAGCTTCTGGCCTGGGAGAAGCAGAGAATGAAGTTGCAGGATGAGATTACCTCTGAGAAAGAAAAAATCAAGGCGCTTAATAGGTCTTTAGCTCTGATCAACCAGGAAGAAAAGGAAAATGAGGTAAAACATGCTGGATATATTATTTTCATTCATATACACATAAAAGTTCTACCATGTCTCAGTGAATTTAACCCCTAGACTTGTCGAAGAGCCTTTTAATTAAGAATCCAAGAGTGTAATATTTGATTGATGTCTTAGGTATTGCTTTAACCATCACAAGACTTGGAGACGTTACCATGTTAGAGTGCCTCCAGTAACCTTGCAATTTCAATATTTCTTTTATTTAGACTCGGGTTTCTCAAAATTTTGGTTTAAGGCATGCATTTAGCTGTTTCTCCAAGTTTCTTCTTGCTGACCAATATATCCAAATCACTAAAGTCTGGGTCTTTACTTTGCAATTCGTGATAGATTTTTGGCAACCTATGTGGATGAGTGGTGCAGATGTGTCTTGGTAATGTAATTGCAGGCGAAATGGAGGCGGGAGCAGGAAGCTAAGGAGAAAGCAGTGGCTCAAGTGGAGGAAGAACAACGTGCCAAGGAAGCAGCCGAAGCTAGCAATAAACGGAGGCTCGAAAGCTTGCGTTTGAAGATCGAAATAGATTTCCAGAAGCACAAGGATGATCTCCAAAGACTTGAACAAGAGCTCTCCCGGCTGAAGCCCTCTTCTGCTGCTGCTACTCCATCCACAACGGAATCAAGCCTTCAATCCGATAAGACCTCCCCCACTGGAGAAGCCATTTCCAGGCTGCTTGAGGAGCTTGATAGGCTCGACGGGTCGTATGAAAAGGAGGCGAACTACGATAGGGAATGCGTCATATGCATGAAGGATGAGGTTTCCATCGTGTTTCTACCATGCGCTCACCAAGTCATATGTGCAAGCTGTAATGACAGCTTCATGGGCAAAAAGGGTAGTGGCAAAATCACCTGTCCCTGCTGCCGAGCTCCTGTTCACCAGAGGATCCGTGTCTTTGGAGCAACTTATTAGCCAAAATAGCTTTTGGGGTTTGAAAGAGAACACAGCTCAGGTTCTTCTTTTTCATGGCCAATACCTTTTTTATTTTATCCCTCAAGTCTGCTTTCACAGTTCTATGAAATCTGGACTTGCATTGCATGATATAGTTTTTCTTTTTGGGAGTTCTTGAGAAAGTGTTTCCTGGTTGCTGCTCTTTCCGGGATTTGAGGATGTAAGTAAATAAAATCGATAGCTTCTGTTACTACGACCAGCTTCAAACATGTCTTATTGCACCTTTAACTGCGATCAGATGTATTCAAAGTGCCTCCTCCAAGAACTGTCTTTTGGCCTGAATCAGATTGCTGGAGCTGTAATTTCAAGAACTATTGATCGGTTTGCATCGGTACACGAGCAAACCGAACCGGGTTTTCAGCAAATCACTGGTACGATTTCCAAGATGTGATAAAATGTTGGAGAACATATGATTTTGTAGTTTCTTAAGGGGTGTGTGGTTCTATAGCCATTATCTTAAACCCTACCGTAGCCTTCAAGCTATTCTTCTCACAGATGAAAGAAAATGGATTTCAGAAAAACTCAGCTTGGCCCCAAGGTCTAGAAAGTGTTCTATGGCTCCAGGTAGAGGGCGGGGGAGGAATCTTGCTTTGCTTTTTTATACAACTATGGATAATATATATATATATATATATATATATAAACATCCAAAGTAGAAATAGTTTCCAAAAGTTTTGATTGATGGATAATGTCTGAGCCCGACCTGTGTCAGATCCTGGTAGGTCGCATTATAAACAAAAACATTACTATGTCTGCAAATCATGGTCCAACCTCGAACTGGACGACCAAACCATACATGTTTCATATTGGGTAAGCAGAACATACTCGTTACTATTTTCTGGTATAAGAACATAACGTTTAAAAGGCATCTAAGTGGTGGAAACTATCACAGCTGATAGTGTACATGTCCGTCCATGTGAAATTCTGGGTAATTTAGGAATCCATTGTTGGGAGATATTTCTGAAGAAGCTTCCATTTCCCAGTTGAAGTTTGAGATTGAAGAAGGATCGGTAAAGAATTCTGGATATCCGAACCGTGTTGAGTTTGGAAGATCTTGCCCAGATGCAGATTCCTCCGCTTTCCAGTAGAGCTGCAAGTGAAATTGCTGCAGAGATTCAGACAAAACCCAACACAAAAATTGAAGCTTTGAGTCGAAAAACCAAACCTTGGATGCTGATTCTAGGATTAAATCCTCAGGGGAAGCCCAGATTCTGGGCGAACCAGTTTCCGACAAGGCACAAGGAGCATGGCTCGAGCTCTGGCTCTCCTTCGCAGGGTAACTTGCGCCACAAGAAATATCGAATGGCTCATTCGGGACCGTGTTTGACCTAGCTTCTCCTTTCTTCTGCATCTGATCATCTCTCTTGACCACCCGGCACAATGCGAAATCACCCTGAAAAATTAAAATCCGAGATATTTCTTCTTTAAGCTTATTGCAGTAAAACCCGGAATCGATGAACTTCGAGTGTGTTACCAAAAGATGGACTTTGATTCCTTTTTTCTTTCAGATTCACCTTGAAACTATTTGGCCCCTGTGAAAGATCGTCGCATAGGCGGTACTCGTTCATTACCCACCCGGTTCTACTGCCTAAAGGAGCTCGGCCGAGGTAGAAAACTAGGGTTTTCTTGTATCCAGTCACGGGAGAAGACTGATGACAGATAACTCTTCGATCTTTCCCGGTGGCTTTCCAGTAACCGGATCTTGTTGCTCTGTTCGCTCGAGAGCCGTTTGGGTATTTCCTGTCTCGATGACAGAAGAAGAACCATTCCTTGTCTCGGTTCGGTAAGAACGACTTGTCTGCAAACCAGAACAGCCAAAAAAAAAAAAAAACAGAGGGTAAAAAGCAAATCATTGATTTCCAGCATTTAATGATTGTGATGAACTGAGAAAGGTTTGATCTTTGGATTAGGGTTTATGGAGGGCATGTACCAGGCAATTCCCAGGGATCAAACTTGTACAGATCGATCAATGGAATCACTTCGAGCTCGATTTCGAGCCCCTCGTTTCTTCTTTGGAGGTAATACCCGACGAGTTCTTCATCCGTGGGATGAAATCTGAAACCAGGTGGTAAAGATGATCCTGCCATTGCTTTTTTTTTTCTTTCTCCTTCGTACTGTTTTCTTGGATATACAGAGATGACAGACAAAAACAAAACTTTTTTGGTTAAAGATCAAAGTTTCTGCTGAAC